ATTACATAAATTCGATCATGGATTACATAAAATTTGATCATGGATTACAAAAAAAACAACCAAAAAAACAAAAATTCGATCGTGGATTACAAAAAAGAAAAAACAATTCGATCATGGATTACAAAAAATTCAATCATGGATTACAAAAACTCTATCATGGGTTACAAAAAAAAAAACAAAAAATTCGATCGTGGATTACAAAAAAGAAACAAATATTTCGATCATGGATTACAAAAAAAAACAAACATTTCTCATGGATTACAAAACATTCGATCATGGATTACAAAAATTCTATCATGGGTTACAAAAAAAACAAAAATTCGATCATGGATTACAAGAAAAAAAACAAACATTTCGATCATGGATTACAAAAAATTCGATCATGGATTACAAAATATTCTATCATGGGTTAACAAAAAAAAAAAACAAAAAATTCTATCATGGATTACAAAAAAAAAAAAACAATTTGATCATGGATTACAAAAAAATCGATCAAGTATTACAAAAAAATCTATCATGGATTACAAAAAAATCGATCAAGTATTACAAAAAAATCTATCATGGATTACAAAAAAAAATAAAAAATTAATTTCTTCCATACGGGACTCGCCGATTCACTGTACGGACTCGCCGATCCCGTGCAGTGAATCGGCGAGTTACTGTGCAGAATCGTCTGGTTCTCTCTAGAACCGGACGATTCCCGTTTTTTTCATCGATTCGAACCGTCCATGGCGATTCCCGAGTCGAACCGGGGGAGTCCGGTTCGACTCGGCGATTTTTTAAACACTGATAGTTACATATCTCATTTTTAAATAAAAAATAAATCTCGCAAGCAAGCGCTTGGCCGGAAAAGCATGCTCCCAAGAGTATAGGCACTCTTTTTTTTTTATAGTTAAATTGAGAATGGTTTCCCCACTCTCGTTCCATGTAGATAGGGATGGTTATCTTCGTCTAAATTTTAAAGAGTCTTAGTATTCATATGTAGAGGTGCGGCCTTTCATTTTGATCTTTTTTAAGATGGAAATTGGATTTATTTTTAAGATGGAATTTGGACTTATTTTTTTTTAGATATGTATAGTCTCTAAAATGGAGATAATATGTACAAACAAAAAAAAAAAAAACCTACATCCATGAATGTTTGATGCACCTCGTGAGGTACAAATGTAGAAATGCGTCCCCGATTCATAGGCTACTTTTTGAAATTTGAAATCTTGAATATTTTTTTGTTTTTAATATTAACTTGTGACCTTTTTCAATACTGTATCGTCAAACCCAAAAGTGATTGTCAAGCATCAACTCCTTTGTCCATTCATCCAATCATACAACTCAATTCATCACAAAACCATGTAATCCTTCTTCATCGTATATCCATTTCTACAAAAAGTAAACAAGCTAAAAACAATACACACAAATCCAAAACCGAATACTGGTAGAGAGAAAAAAATGTCGTGTGGAAGAAAAAAGTCAAGTCTCTATCGTGGAGCAACAAATCGGTGAGATAACAAGTGTGAAACAGGGGGCCTTCTCGTCGCATCCCTCTGCAAACAAGCCTCAAGAAAGCTTCTGAATTGCGGTGTTGTCCCTTGGGGAATAAACCTAAGGGGTGACTCGTCCCCGCATATAGCCCATATTAGAGTCCCGAAATCGGGACTTTTACCTAGGGGCAAAAGCGGATATCTCCCCATAAACATCTCCAAAGCACTGACCCCAACTCCCCATACATCACCTGCGTATCCATCGTAAACCCCCTGGCTGCGATCCGTGTCGATCCTCTCTGGACTCATGTAAGCGATGGTCCCAACCGATGAATTGCAAGGATCCATGGTCCTGCTTAAAATTCGGCTAACCCCGAAATCCGCGATTTTCACTTGATCGAGTGAGTTGATCAGGAGGTTAGCGGGCTTTAGATCTCGATGCACGATACGTCGCTTGTGTAGGTATTCGAGACCCAGCAAAACTTGGCGAAAAACAAGGGCGATCTGGGATTCGTTGAGGATCTTGGAACTGAGGGATCCACCGTCCATGAACTCGAGGAGGATTTGGGTCTCGCCGTTGATTTCGTAGAGGCCGTGGCATCGGACGACGTGGGGGTGGTGGGCTTGGCGGAGGATCTGAATCTCGCGGTGGATATTGTGACGCGTGGCGTCGTCCTGTAGGGAGAGGGGCAGCGTCTTGAGGGCGAAGAGCTGGGAGGAGGGGATGTGGCGCACGAGGTACACGTTGCCGGATGCGCCGCTGCCCAAGAAGTGGAGGCGGACGAGGTCGGAGTGACGAGGAGTATTATTGTCATTTGCTATTGCAGAGAGAGAGAGTGAGGAGAGAGGAGAAGAAGAGAGAGGGAGAGAGGAGGAGGAGGAGGCGGAGGCGGAGGAGGAGGGGGGAGGTGGGAGGGGCACCGGGAGAGGGATGGGGAGGGGAAAGGCTCGGGGGGGGATGGAGACGCAGGACACGGGTCTTGCCTTGGGTTTCCGTTTCTTGATCTCTTCTGGTTGGCTCATGGGTGCTTCTCTATGTTTTCCGATTTTACAGACTGCGTGTTTTTGGAAAAAAAAAACGGGTAGAGAGAGATGGGGAATTACAAATAATAATAAAATTCCTAAAAAAAAGACTGCCGTGTTTTGAGAGATCGGGAATCTTGATTACTGTTATGGAGTTGGGTTAGAGAGAGATGGGGATGAATCTTGGTTACTGTTATGCAGTTGGGTTAGAGAGAGATTTGGGGGTTAGAGAAAGAAATGCAAATATCTCAGTCGTCTTTAAGGAAATCTGGCTCCGAGAGGAAGAAAGGTCTCCGTTAATTGGGAAAATGAGCCACCGTCCTTAGAGATAAAGTGAAAGAGTTGCAGAGGAATTAAGATATGAATTGGGCTTTTGCGTTGCGTAATTGAATTGGACGCAATATTGAATTCAGATGAACATTAGAGGGCTTGCTGCACGCAGGCCAATTGGTGAAAAGGCTACTCTGCCGTGAGTTGTGTGACAGGGATGAGTGCTCGCACAAGACGGGTCTGAGGGATCAGCGGTCGCACAATGGGGTCAAAAAAAACTACGCAAGGAAAATGGTAGAGGATTGCTCAAGGTTTTAGAGAGAGAAAGTAAATAGGTGGGATGCTTGAATTTAGAGAGAGAAGGTTCGTTACCAGTTCGGTGAGAAGAATAATTCAGAGGAAGGAAATAAAGAGGAAACGGCCTTTGATGATGATGATTAATATAAAATTATATATTTAAAGCCTTCTAGTTTTCTATGATTAATATTAGTTAAAAGCCTTCTAGTTTTATCATAACATATAAGATTGCACCTTTAAACGGTCCTCGAAAATTTATTATAACATATAATTTTGGTGTAAAAATTTATTAGGATTATCTAAAAATCTATTTTCATCTCTAATTATAAAATGTTAAACTCAGAAAATGGTTAAAATCAAGTAGAACTATATACAAATGAAAATCTTGAAAATAGACTGTCTAAATAATGTTTTGCATGATGCTATATGTCTGAGATTTAAAATTTTTTTTTTTTTTTTCGCATTCATATATCTCAATGTCGAGATGATCAAGTAGAAGGTCTTTAAACATTAAAACAAACTTGTCCAATAGATTTTGAACTGCATATTTAAGTCTACATGTAAACTTTTTCTATAAATTTTATACTAATAATAATTGAAATAATGCATGAGAACTCCTAGGGGAAAAGATTGCAACGGAAAGGGTGTATGTGAATCATCCATTCTTATCCATAAAACCACAGGTATAGATCTTTATTTAGAACCAATAATACGTATCCTGATCTAATCCAATATTCCTTTTTTAAAAATTAGAAGCTGTATTTATAGTTGATAGGGAGAAGTATCGATGCCTTTCAATTTTCGTATTTTAAATTCAAATTCAATGCACAGTATCACAATAAATCCCTTAAAAAAAACCTTATATCCATATTTTCATATCTCCTGCAAAAAGACTTCTTCCCTTTTCTTGTTCCCTTTTCTGGTACACTCCACTTTCTAAGAGGAGCAGCATGGTTGTTCGTATGGACCTACAAAAGTATTTTGCCATTTTAATCTTGATTTATATGATTCTAAATGTGGTTGAATGTGGGTGTGGGTACAAGGATGAAGCCATTGCTTATCAAGTGATTGGGGACCAAAATGGTGGAAGAGATTACAGGACAGTTCAAGATGCCATTAAGAGTGTGCCTTCCAATAATACCCAGATTGTGAATATAGTCATCAGGCCCGAATTTACAGGCCCATCTTTGATGACAACTCTTTTTATATTTTTTACTTCCTCTTGCTTTTTTGTTATCTGTATTTGCTCTCTCTCTCCTTTGTCCTTCTCATTACCGTGGTTCTCTCTCTCTCCCCCCTTGGTTTCGTCAGGGGAAAGAGAATCCCAAACAAGAGATGATTGAGGGAGGGGAGGGTTTGTCCCGGGCCGATGACTTGAGATCTACTCCATCTATCAGTCCTTATTTATTCGTCATAGTCACACGGGAGCACATCATCCAAAGGATTTTTTCATCTGAAATTAATAAAATAATTTTTTAGATGGAACACCTCCAAGTTCCTAGACCCCGCATGAAACAATTTTCATTATTAATTTCCTTCGTCTTTTTTCATTAGAGAACTCTCCCCATCTCATATACCTCAAAAGCCCCATTTTTATTTCTATCTTTTAAAGTCAACTCAAACGTCAAAAGCTCCTTTCTGGCGTCTTTCTAGAGCAAGGAATTTATAGGGGCAGATGAACGAGTTTAAACTCCTCTAGGGCAAGTTTTGTTTTCCGGAAACAATCCATTGATGGGTCTTGGATTTCCAATGAAAATATGCATTCCACAAAAATATCGTATGTAGGTAGGTTAATGTAAAGTCCAGCCTCTACTTCCCTTTTTAATAAGTTTTTTTTCTAAATAAATATTTGAGAAATTATCACAAATATACCTTAATTTTGGTGTATTTATAAAAAAAAATTTCAACTTTCATAACTTTGTCCACACCATTTTCTTCAATTTTGATCTTTTTGTGACCAAAATAACTAATCCTATTACTCTTATTATAATCAAGAGATATGAAAACCAATAACCCTATCATTATATATATCTACATATATATATCCATATTGATATGTATGTAATGTTTATCTATACGGTAGTTAAAATGCTGTATAATATGGCTTAGGTTTATCAATATGTTATTTATAATTCAAGTTATTGGTCAAGTTATTATAATAATATGACTACGGTAAAGGTTTGGTCACAAAACGATCAAAATTGAAAAAAAAAATATGGACGAGGTTGGGTTTTTTGTTGTGAATAAAAAAAAATTAAGATCTATTTGCGATAATTTCCCTAAATATTTTCCCACCCAAGGTGCTGTGGCTCCTATTGTCTCGTTTCTTTTCCTCCCATGGCCTTTTTTTCCTCATCGTTATGCTTTCTCTAGGATTGAAGGATGAGCGACCCTGTTAATAATTCCAATCGTTATGCAATTTTAGTAGAAAAGAATGCTTAAATTCCAGGGTAAACCAATACTTTTAGATTCAATGGATGAATTCTTCTTGAATGTTTTATAAAAAAATCGTTGATCTGCGAGTTCAGGATAAAAGAAGACTTTTGAATTCCAATTTAACACCAGAAAAGAATTGTCTTCCTACTCCGTTTTGTAATTTGTCTCAAATTTATTTTCTTCCATCTTCCTTCAGGTGCACTCACAAATCTTGCCCGGCATACAAAATATTCCCAAAAGAAAAAAGAAAAAAAAAATGCTGATTTGTTTTGAAATTTTCGCCCTCCATTTCCTCTCTTCTATAAAGGATAAAGCGAGAAACTGAACATTTTTAACAAATAAGAGAGAGATAAGCAGACTTTCCTTTTGATGGTTTTTTCTCCAAACTTTGGAACCTCATCGAGGGGGTGGCTCTGTTCATTGGAATTCGAATTATGGGGTGGTCGAACATGGTAGTCGGGACCTTTTATTGATTCTATGGTTTTTGTTTGCAGGGAGGCCTTTTAAGTTATTTTTCATTGGAAATTTTAGTGAGAGAGAGAGAGAGAGAGGTGATTTGGGTGATAAGAGAATGGAACGTTCTCTAAAAGAGAGACATAAATTGGGGAGAGAGAAGAGAATCAGAAACTCTGAAGAGAGAGAGAAGGGTTATTGGAAGAGGGTGATAGAGAGAGAGGTGCACGCATGTCCGCTAGACAGATTGAGAAAAGCCCAAAAAAAGGTTTGGGAAAGGACAAAGGATACCAGGGCCCCGGTCCTTTAGTGCTATTTTGTTGGGTAGCGTAAAGAATCTGCACCGTCCATACAGATGAACGGTACAAGAGCTGCAGCCCAACTTCAATAACAAAGGCTGCATCCCTGTAGAAACCGTATCCAAATAATAATAGAATAATTAATGGATATGAATAATGTAATAATTAATAGATATTAAAACAATCAATATAATAATTAATATATGTTATAATATAATTAACTATATATTAGGATGTGTATAATTAATAGATACATAATAATATATATGATATTAAGTAACATTATATATAATAATAATAATTAATAGATATTAATTAAAGTATATAATGAAATATTAATTATAATAATTAAAATATGATATATAATAATTATATATTATACTCAATAAATTACTCTATATTATTATATTAATAAGAAAAAGTTCATACATAGCTGAAGCTCTAAACAATCAAATTAGAACCTACCTCAAAAATTTCACTAAAAGAGGTTGTTTTGATGCTCAAATATCTGCAAATTGATCATCTCGACATCAAGATGCATGGACATAGAAAAAAAATGGATTTCAAGTTTTAAAAATAGTGCATCTTGTAACACATTTTTATACCATTAATTTTCAAGATTTTTGAAACTTTAAATTTTATAATTATAGATAAAAATATATTTTTTTTTATTTTTTAGAGCTTAAGCACTGTACAAGCCGCACCCATCACGTTCTTCTCTACTGTTACATTCTCTCCACTGTTACATTTTCAAAGCACCCATCACGAGAGATGAGAAACTTTAAGATTTTGTTTTTAAAAATAGGGCAAATGGGTCTATTTTCCCCTCTATAAAAAAAATGGTACGCATATAGTCAAAAACAAATTCTTACTAGGCCTATTTTTAAAAGAATATTTTTAGCCCTTTTCTTAATTCTTAGAAAAGAATCGATTTCTAAAGGACCTTCCCACTTGCCCCCTTTTTTTTTTATTTTTTTTTTTATTTTTAAAGAAAGGTAAATAATTTCATAAGGACTTGCCCAACTTGAAATATTACATCAACCCCAATTCCACATCACCCAACAACCCAATAAAAGCAACTAAGCTTGTCTCCTAAAGTTTATAAAGCTAAAAAGTAAAAACCAAGGAAAAGAAAGAAAGTTTTAAAATATATATATATATATCTGAAAATAATTTAATTTTTTTTTTTTGTAGTACCTTAAAAAAATATCGTTAAAGTTGATATAGATTTATAAAAAAGCCAAATCGCACATCTGATAACTTTTTTCTAGAGATATGTATCAATGCGAGAGTCTTATAACATCAATATTTTATATATGTATATATATATATATAAAAAGGTGCGACCCATCTCGTATTCCATCCATTTGGGCCCCAACGGCTGAGATCTTTAGCCTCTTAATCAACGTCCCAGGTTTACATGGGAAAAACCCATTTTAATTAATGGGTCCTACAACTGCCTGCAAATTTGTCAGCTGACCTCTGTAAAATAGCAGCTACTCTGTGTCACCCTGTCAGCCACTCTCTCTCCCTGTTACTCTCACCCTTCTCTCTACGCCATTTTCCCAGTCTCTCTGCCCCCGTCAACTACTCTCTCTCCCTGTTACCCTCACCCTTCTCTCTCTACGCTCAGCCAGTACCCATTTTGCTACTCTCTCTCCCTGTTACCCTCACCCTTCTCGTTCTACACTCAGCCATTACTTCTCTCTCTACGCTCAGAGACCATAGCAGCTCTCTCCACACCAGCAACTACTATACCCTCTCGCCACACAGAGGTGAGTTTCATGGCTTCACCTCTGATTTTTATTTTATTGGGTTTTTTTTGCTGACTCTTATTTTTTGGAGGAAGTCTTGCACTATATTCTTGATTGTTGAGCCGCCCTTGCAACTTGGTTGTAGATGGTGTCCCCTATTGTTATTTATTCACCTCTGATTTTTTTTATATTGGATTTTTATTGAAACTCTTATTTTTTAGGGTTTTAGAGTGATGCTAGTGGTGTTGTTTCTCATATCTGATTTTCTTCAATTGTGGCTTGGATACACCAATTTGTACCACTGTATTGTAACCAATGCGCCTATCAATTACTGCAGTTTAAAAAATGGTCAAGAATGCAAACATATGGGTTTAGTTCTACTTGTACATTGTCTCCCAATAAAAATAAAGAACAAAAAAATGGAGACGCATATGTAAGAGAAACATGGGTTTAATGGCATATACTTGGAAACTTTTGATCATTGTATATAGGTTGTTTTAATCTCTTCTTGTTGGTCAAAAGCACAGATGACTATCCATTTAAAATTGTAAATAGGGTGTGTTACTTTGCTAGAAGTAATCATTATATTGGAATATGTGGAACTCAATGTTATATGCCCCTTGCTGTTGCAGGTCGAAAAGATGTGCCTCCTTGCTGTTGCAGGTCGAAAAGATACGCCACAGAAGATGCAACAAATTTTTTGAAGAAGATTTTATTGTATGGAAATGATTCAAGAGTAAAAGATTCAACAGTCATTTTTTGTTTTTAGCTTATGTAAATGTCATGTGCTAATTGTGTTGTATGGACATGGGGACATTAAAGAGTCATTTTTTCAGTAAACTAACAGTGTTGAATCAAAGAGTCATTTTTTGTCATGTGGTGAATGTGCTGATTGTGTTGTAAGCACGATGTTTGAAGTGACGGTGTTTGTTATAGAGGGGCTATTGTTCGAAATCCATCATTTTTGTACGAGCTGAAATTTGAATGGGAAACTGAAAAGTGATATTGAAATTGAAAACACTACAAATGTTTGGCTCCTCACCAGTTCATTTTTTTGTAAATGTTCGTCTCCTCACTGATATGCACTTTTTGCATGTCTATTAAGAGCTTTTCAATTTTTGCAGCTGTAACCATGGACATTAATAGTATTACAACCTTTTCTTCAAAAGATTTTGTAAATAAATTTTTGAAACCATGGATATTAATAGTGTTGTAACCATGGATATTCATTTCTTTAAAGGTTTGGCTCTCCGTTGGCCCGATCAACAGTATTGTAAACTAACTAGCATCAATATTTTTACCTCATTATTCACAGGTCGCACTTGAAAAGAAATTGACAGCTCTTCACAAATTTGACAATCAAAGGTTTATTCATCCACAAGACCAGAAAATTATAAGGGTGAAATTACTTTTGACGCTAATATCATAGAAAAGGCTTTCCCACAACAAAAATTTTCCAAACTGAATATTGACAACAATAATAACTGTGGTTGAATGACCATCGGTCTAGGCTTGTCCATGAGATGCACTTGCGATACTTGTGATTGATTCCTTTGTTGTACAATTAGGATGTCTCAAGTTCATAATGTAGTTTATCACTTTCATAAATTTCATCGCACCATCGGAAAAAAGTACAATTTGGACACCGATAGTACATTCTTCTAGGGTTGGATAGGGAACTTGATGTAGTTAAATTACATGGTATGTCGCACCGCAGACAGTTACGGTGTGGATATCCTCCATTGTTTGTGGAAGCTGATGACATCCTTATGGGTTCAAAGGTCTTGATCTGCATCCACATTTTATAAAAAGTAAACATAATGATGGTACTTATTTATGCCAAGATCAGACATTGAAATGCAATATTGAAGTGCTGGAATATATGTGAATAAGGCATGTAAAAATAAATTTCAGTAAATTCAATAACATCTATTCACATGGAAAATAGACATGTTTTATAAAAATTATCAGCAAATTCAATTACATCTATCTCTAATCCTGAAGTGACCGTTCTGTGGCATACAAATATAAGTAGACATTTTTTTTGACAATACGACAGGTATGGTCAAAGACTATGGATTGTTGTGCTTCTTGTACAGGTATGTCTCTTTTGAGGGGAGCATTCCTGTACAAATATTGAGCTTGAAATCTCTTGTTTCTATTGATATTTTTTAAAATATATTAGTTGAGGATATCCCCCAAAATTGTTGTGCTTGAGCTTAAATCTCATAATCTTGCAGGAAATGGAGTTCAGGGAAGGATTTCTGATTTCTCAGGCCTGAAAACAATTTCGAGGTCGAGTATTGGGCCTATTTTTCACGAATTGTTGAAGATCTTTGACATCAGTGAAACCCAGTTTGACGACCACATTTGACATATAAGCTCCATTTCTGATTGGGCTAATTTGATTTTCCTCGATACATCATCTAACCAAGTTAATGGAGAGATTTTCACCGACTTAAAACAAAGCCCACTCTCTAACACACCTCAATCTCGTTCACAGTCTTTTCTTTCTACAAAAAGTCCCTCTCATGAATGAGCCTTGAGTCTGTCAAACTACAGAAAGTCCCTCTCATGAATGAGCCTCGAGTCTGTCAAATATGTAAACCAACTTACAGGGGCAGCTCAACAATCAAGAATATGGTCAAAGACTTCCTACAAAAAATTGGTGTATCCAAGCCACAATTTAAGAAAAAATCAGATATGAGAAACAACACCACTAGCATCACTCTAAAGCCCTAAAAAATAAGAGTTTCAATAAAAATCCAATACAAAAAAATCAGAGGTGAATAAATAACAATAAGGGACACCATCTACAACCAAGTTGCAAGGGCACCTCAACAATCAAGAATATAGTGCAAGACTTCCTCCAAAAAATAAGAGTCAACAAAAAAAACCCAATAAAATAAAAATCAGAGGTGAAGCCATGAAACTCACCTCTGTGTGGCGAGAGGTACAGTAGTTGCTGGTGTGGAGAGAGCTGCTATGGTCTCTGAGCGTAGAAAGAGAAGTAATGGGTGAGCGTAGAGAGAGAAGGGTGAGGGTAACAGGAGAGAGTAATTGACAGGAGGAGAGAGAGTAGTAAAATGGGTAAAGGCTGACCGTAGAGAGAGAAGGGTGAGGGTAACAGGGAGAGAGTAGTTGACGGGGGGCAGAGGGACTGGTAAAATGGCGTAGAGAGAGGGGGGTGAGAGTAACAGGGAGGGAGAGTAGCTGACAGTGGGAATGAAAGTAGCTGCCATTTTGGAGAGGGCAGCTGACAATTTTGCAGGCAGTTGTACGACCGATTAATTGAAATGATTTTTCCCACGTAAACCTGGGACGTTGATTAAGAGGCTAAAGATCTCAGCCGTTGGGCGCAAATGGATGGAATACGCCATGGGGC